GACGCGGACGGTTCGTCGGACGCGCAATTCTTTGCCACGGCCCGGGATCCCTTCTTACGCCGAGCTCCCAGTATTTAACCCGCACGATAAATTAAGTCGGACCCTCTTTCCGGCCCGCTCGAGCGAAAGTATTTAAACTCGAAACAAGCTGAGAGTCGCGCGAGAGCCCGCGAATCCCCCGGAACGCTCGCCTGGAATTAATCCCGTGCTTGTGTTACCTGTCCAAAACTCGCACGCCTGCTCGCGCCCCGCGTTCTCCATTGTATCCTCCTTCGAACGACTCTTCGTTTCCCTTTTTAGGATAACGTTGAATTTGCGATGAAATTTCACGGCGATTTTCCAAAAATTTCTTCGTTTCCTGGACTGGGGACGGAAAATTTTCCCAAACACGCAGACTCGTGATCTAAGTATCGCAACGAGTAATTTACTTTTAATAGGAATCATGTGATAAAAGAAGATTACTACAAAAAAAAAAAAAAAAAAAAAAAAATACTGATGAGGACACCAGCACTGCATAGTGGTCACTCAGTTAAGAAACATATTTCTGACGTTATTAGCAAAGGAAAGTAATACTGGATATTAGAATACTGGGACGCGTAATACTGGATATTAGAATACTGAGTGGCTCGACAAGGTACAAGAGAGTTCAACCGAACCGTCCTTATTGATTCTCAGGTTTCTTATACAGAGTATTATCTCGAACGTTTTTCCAGAAAGCGGCAGATAATTTTAATCATGATACACGCTTCGCCTATGTCGCGACTAGTTTCAGATGACCGAGAATGTTGCAAAGTAGAGGAACAAAAATAAATACCGGCGTAAGGCAATGTTAAAATTACAGCGACGTAGTAAAAGGCGAACGGATTCGTTCCAACTTCTCTCTGATCGGGGCGAAAGCGGGGAAACACGACGCGTTAATTACGTAATGTATCGAGGATTCTGGCAAAGAAGCTCGAGCGTTCGCTGTGTTTTACGCATATTTAATTACACGGGGTGGGGCGCGGTTTCGGACGAGCGTCGCGCAGCTAAAATGCGACACGCAATGGCACAATTACGTGAAAAGGGACGGCAACGATAAAGACGTTTCGAGCGAGGGACCCGCGCGCGCGCGCGCGGATCTGATTATGCAAACGCGATGGGTTGCGTAAGTCCCGAACTTGCGAGACGAGTAATTACGATGTTATATTTTTGTACCGGTGGACCTTCGAGCCGCGCTTCGTTATACAAAATATTCACGCGCACGGTTGTCCTTTGTAAATACGAAATCCAGCAGTCGTTGCACGTGGCCAAGGCACTCCGCAATTGGTGAATCATTTCATCGGAATACGTAATTGCACACAGGGAAAGTGAAAGTTTTTTTAATATTGATTTCGAGGAGTCTGAATCGATTCGCGCTAGATTTGAAGGCGACTCGATTAGTCGTTACGAACGACGTGATTACGTCAGCGTCAACAGGATCGATGAATCTTGGAATAAGAATCGGATCATAACGCTGAACCGATAGCGTGGGTGTTAAATAGCGAGCGAAAGCACGAGTGAAAGCGAAAACGGAGGGTTCCTTCTCGTAGAGATTGTAGGAAAAGGCAACACGTAACGGCAAAACACGGTTTTCGGACGCACGTGTCCGTGCAAGAGCCAGGGACGGGATACGTACGTACGTCCCGTGTAAAATTCAAAACGCGGAAACCCTGTACGCCCCTATAAAATTGTAAAATAATTTTCAGCGTAAACCTCCCCGAAACGTGCGCGAGTGCTCGCCGTTTTAAATCCGGCCACGCTTGCCGAAATAATTGAAGCCCGCCCGCCACGCCCACGCGACGCAATCTCGTTACGATTTTATTGCGGCTTACGCTCCGATTTTATCTGGTTCGAGCGATTACGTTAGCCGGAGGATCCCTCTGTTTCCAGGCTCGGCCACCTACGTCCCTTGTTTCTTTCTTTCTTCCTATTTTTTTTCGCGCCCCCTTTCTCCCGGTTTTTATTTTCTCGCCGGATTCGACCGGTCCGTTTTACGGCACACTGTCAGTGGATATCGTGTTTTCGCTGATACCGGGCGATACCGCGCCGAAAACGATGCTCGATTTTCGTCTGGACGCGTATCGAAAAACCGCGAGAGCAAACGCGAGGCGAGATATACGCGAGGCGTGTGTGTGTGTGTGTGTGTACACACGTACGATGGGGTGAGAACTCGACGTTTCATCGGATCAACGCGAGTGTCGGGAGTGTCTCGCGGCTTTTTAATTAAAAAGTAATAAGCTCGGTCGACGCGATGGCCGCTCGACACGCTGCTCGCTCGAACGGAGCGATCGACTTTTGTTTTCTTTTAATTTCACCCAGTTTCGGCTCCCGGAAAGCAATAATAATGTCCCGCTGAACTTTCACCCCGATAGGGGACGCTTTATGGGCACCAGTTATCTGCGGCAGAAGTTGCCGTGAACCGAAAGAAGAGTCTGGCCAACTTCTCCGGTTCGAGCGAAAGAGATAATGGACGATCTACGTGGCTGGCTCCGCGACCGCGATAAATTTCTCTAGTATTATTTTAACTCGTGATATCTCGCGCCTATATCATTGCTTCCCCCCTCGGTGCACGCTCGCTTCTTTGCCCATCCGTCGAAAGAACCCGCGCCAATTACCTATTCGCCGGAGTCGTCGAACCTGCAGTCAAACATTTTCCCGTCCGATCTCATTAATTATGCCCCGTTAATTGAAACGGCCGGAGTGGGGAACGTGACGTTTCATAAATTCCCACGGTTGGAATCGTCGATCGAAGGCTCAATGACGCGCGTGCGTTTAAACGTTTTCACTTAATTACGCGATTCGTCCACAGTGCCCGGGCCACTAGCCGTTTAACGCCAATTTTATGCACCGGTGAAGTGAAACTCGCGCGCTGTCGTGGCTGCTCTTGCTGCTCCTCCAACCCGTCGTACCTCGCGCGTACCTCCCGACCTCTGAAATTTTCCCTGTTGCGCGAGACGAGCTTAGCTTCGAACAATCATCGCACGATCGACTCGACTGAGTCGCGTACGATACCCGAAGACCATCGAAACGAACTGCGACAATCGTCTCGTTAAACGATTTCACGATTCCACGCGGACGGAAACGAATTATTGTTCATAACGAAGCTCCGCGGAAAAACAACGGACTGGTTGAATCGGTTCGGTCGCACGGCCTGTCATTGGCTCGTAAACGCGGAAGTGATTCCGGGCCCGGCGCGAGAGCGAAGCGCGCGGAATAAATTCGAAAGGACAAACGCGATAACAAATTTACACGGAGCGACGTTTTTAATTTGCCCGATCGCCATTAATTACTTTGTTTACTGTAGCGTGGCGACGTGACGCTCGCGTACACACACACACACACACACACACACACTGTCTTTCCCTCTCCATTCTCTTCCCACTTTGCTCATCTTCTGCAAAAATCGCCGGTAATCGCGAGACGTCGTTTCCCGCCTTTTGCCCCGCTGCCACACGTCGCCCCTCGCCCGATTCCAGTCGTTTTACTTTCGTTGGCCTTTACTTTTCGTTTCTCGACGACAACGACGAGAACGACGCGACGGTGGCGGTTGTACGACGCGAAAAGTCATTCCGTCGAATGACAGAGATCTCCGGGGACGATTGCACACTGCGAAACGACCGGACCGCGATCTCGCGTGGCCCCCGTGCAACGTTTAATGAGGCCAGACCGCCCTGCAGGCGAAACGGTGCGCCTTCCTCCCGCGGAGTCGCCCCGGGGCAGTCAGGCAAGCACAGGCCGCCTCGTATTCTCGTATGCAAGAATCCGGCCGGTCTCTCAACTCCGAGCCCCGAGTTGTAAATAGTTATTCGGAACGACAGTTGAATTTCGCTCGTCGCGGGAGAGCTGCCTCGTTTTTCCCTCCTTCTCCGTCCCTCTCTCCCTCCCCCCTCGGTTTCTTTCTATTTTTGCTGTTTCTCCGCGCGTCACATACACGGATGAAACACGTAAGGTCGACTCCGGCCGGTGGATCGGTGACTGGTGGCGAAACGCGCTGGGACGTGGGACACAAGACGTGAGTCTTCCCCCCGAGTTTCAGCCAGCGGCAGAAGAGGCTCGTCAGCGGGGAACCGATCGCGATGGCAGAGGAACGCGGAGAAACCGATCGAGGAGAAAGCTGGACCTGGGACCCGGCTCTCCGCGAGGGGAATATACAAATGTGGATTTGCCGAATCGTATCTCGAGGAGAGATTCGGCCGAGTTTATCTTTTGTCTCTCCTGGTTGTCTCCCATCGTTGCAACGATGCACGCGCGGCTCTTGCCAGCCTCTCGTCTTTCTGCGATCACCCCCTCTTCCCTCTCCTTTCCTCCGCATTTCAACCGTTTCGATCGAGAAACCACCGGTTTCTTATTATTCCCCCGCCATGCGCCATTGTGCGCGCCGGACAAAGCGCCACGAAGCCGACCCCCGCCTTATCCGTCCGAGATATTCGGCAATATCCGAATGAATGCTCGACCGAAGAGACAGCCGCGAAAGGGAGCAGCCAGGTTTCCTCCGAGAGGAAATGACGTACAAGAGTAGAAAAACCTCGCGGCGATCAGCCATCGCTGATATCTCATTTTGCACGATGCGACTGATAGGTCAAGGATATTGTAATTGTCGTACAAAGTATGACAATGACGTTATCATTTGCTGGCCCACGAGGTGACAAACGTGGCGTTACCTCGAGCGACGAATAATACAGAGGCTAGTTGTCTTTGAAAAGGGCACAGCCTGAATGTCAATTTGTCAAAATTGAAACGGAGCTACGAATTTCTCAGTTGGAAACCTCTTTCGACAAAAGACTTGAAACGGGTCGGTCCCGATAGTGTTGCGATCTCGTCAGCAAAAGTCCCCGCTTATTTTTGTCGGCTACCTTGCCAGGCAGTATCAAGTTCAAGAACGGGTTGAACAAACCCGGCGGCACGTATCGACGTGGCAATCATAATATACGTACGAATGTTCAGCGTACTGGAATCTAGCGTTGCCGACAAGAGATGCCTACCTTACAGCCGCGATCCAGGCCTCCCGCTATCTTCGGTATTCCTGGTCGAGATCGTTCTTGACTGACGTCATCGGCTCACCGTGAACTCTGGAAAGAAAAAAGCCGGAATACGTTAGAAACCTCGCTGTTTCTCTTCCGAAATTGTCCGAGAATCTTTCGATTCTCCTTGGTGTGTTGTGAAATTGTGTACAGATTAGTCTTACATAAAGCGGACGTGATTGTAACTTGTGAATCTATGATTGTCTATGGTCGTGGGAATCGGTGTCTCTGATTTTTCGATAATTTTCGTTGCGTAAGCACCGTTTGCATCGGTTATATCGGTATTTTCTCTTTATCCGATATATCATCAATGATCATCAAATGATCGATCAAATCGTTTCTTGGCAACATCATTTGTCTAGCGGTCGTCCAACGATCGCGTACACACAAGAGGGAACGACGACGTTGCTTCGTCGAACGTATCGCCGGGTAATCCAACGTATCCTACTGCGATATCCGACGAGCAACCTCATTAATCGTCGAATGAACGTATAAGAAGAACGCGATAGCAAAATTAGAATTGTTGAAGTAAAATGAATTTACGGAGCAGCGAGCCAGGCGAGCCACGAGGCACGAATACAAGGTGGCATTGCAAAGCCACGAGGCATGAAGCCACGAGGAAATAAAAGGCTGCGGCCTCGCGAAAGGATTCAAGAATTTCCTGTTTCCAACTGGAAACTCTTGCCGAGCGCACGGGATATTCCGCGCGATTACGAGTGCAGCAACGACCACGTAACCTCTGTCCGTAATAACTCTCCTCGATCCTCTATTCTCCTCGCTCCTTCGTTCCTTCCTACGGTTCTGTTCTTTCTCTTTTCAATCTCTTTCGTTCGGCTCTCGTGCCACTCCGGAGGTCCGAGGCAACTTGTCCCACTGGTCCACTTGCTATTGCTTCGAGGCTGGACTGCTCTGCTCTGCTCTCTCTCTCTCTCTCTCTCTCTCTCTCTCTCTCTCTCTCTCTCTCTCTCTCTCTTTCGTCTACCGTTTACACGGCCGACACACTGTTCCGCTCCCTTGCTGGCCTTGTTGTCCCGATACTATCTGGCCAACACACACGTGAACACGTTTTGTCTTCTAATGATCGAAATAGAAATTATGCCGGACCCGAGGGTCGACCCGTATCGTCGCGATCGTTCGCCCGAGCTAACATCGTGCCCCTTGTAAAGTCCGTATTCGGGTCACTTTGTGACCGCTCTGTGACAGATCACTGCCACCGTAGGTTTCCGATGGGTTCCTACATCTATCTGTCCGTGTCGTAAGCTCTAACTCGCGTAATTTCTTCTTTCCCTTTTTCCTATTTTTTTTTTTTTTTTTTTCTTTCAGTTGCATTCAGAGTAACGGGGAGGATGATAACTAGGCTCGTGCATCACTCGAATGGCTAGAGTGATAAACATAATTCAGGGGCGCGACGCGGCGTCGCGCAAGCGGTGACAAAGCGCTGGAATTCGCGTTACACAGTGTTTAGCTCGGCAAGGATCCACATATCAAGCCACTTACCGAAATTTCCTCGCAATGAGACGTTTTAGTGGCTCGTATCATGGCGCGCGTGGCTCTCGCTGCGCGCGTTGTTTCGCGTTGAAACAAAACAAACCGACGCCAGAGAGATTCCAGATTCCAGGCACACGCGCGCCCCTGCTGGAAAGCGACTGGTGGAAAGCAAGCAAGCAAGCAAGCAAGTGGCAGTGTCATTGAGAGAAAGAGGTGTCGTCGGGACGTTAAGTGGCGAAGAGGCGTACACACACGCCGGTTAAGTGGCCGGGGGCACAACGGCCGTCGCGTCGAGAGAGAAACAGAGGCGGTTTTAACGGTCCTGGTTTGCGAAACAACAAGCGGCGAGCTCGCGAAACTACCGCCCTGTGAAAAAGCGTGTGCCTGGAGCGAAAGAAAAGGAGTCGAGTCGTAAAACTTGAAATGTACGCGCGCGCGCGTGTTACTCGCTCGTTCGCTTAGGGGGAGCGATTTGCCAGGCGTGTTGCACGCGCACGCGCGCGCCTGCCACGTGCGAATCGGGAGAAAAAAAAAAGAAAAAAAAGAAAACGAGAGGAGAGACACGCCGGACAAATATAAATATTTCTCCGATCGCTTCCGTTCTCGTTATTTTCATTACGCCGTTTCGTAAATAATCCTCGTAAGCGTAAATCGCGACGGCTGTCCATCCGTTTCCTCTCTTTCGTCCGCGTTGTGCGATCTGCCGCGTTCGTTTTCACATCGGCGTAGATTTTCACTTTGTTATCTATTTTCCTGCCTTCTTTCTCCCCTTCTTGCTTCCTTTTTCCACGTCACTTTGGTCCTTTTTTCTCCCCGCATCCGCTTTCGTATCGACGATACTATCGTGCTCCCTCGACGATAACGGCCAGTTTAGCCTCGAATTCGGCCAGGGGAATGTAAATCGTAGGCTTTGCTTCATTGTCGAGGCAACGAATGCAAACGAGTCCCACGGAAATCTCCGAGTCCACGCCAGGCAAGAAGAAGAGGTGAAGAGGAAGAAGGGGTGGAGCAAAAGAACCAAGTAGAAGCAAACTGTCGTAAATCCAGCGCGGACTAGTCGAGCACGCGTGCCAGTCTCGCTCGTCCATATCGGAAGCAATTTACAAACGCGTCTCTGGCCACGTGGCAGGAAAAAGGTCCGCTCTCGCGTACCTTGCCTTCCTCTCTCTCCTCTCGCTATCTCTCTCTCTCTTTTGCTATCTCCCTCTCCTCGTCGTCGCTATTTTTCGCTGTACTTTCGCGTCGCCATAAATAATGCCTGTAATTCGCCACCCTAGTCGAGCACGCCGTCCGTGTCCTCTGCGTTCTACTTTGTCTTTTAATGCCTTCCGTTCCAACCATAGATTATTATTTTGATATATAACGGGAGGAAGGGCAAAGAGAGGGGAGCAGCAGCTTGAGAGGCGAACTGTACAGGGCGATACGGTACACGACCGTAGCCATCTCTTTCCCTTTCCGGAAATTCGCGTAGAAGGACTTTCGGGGAGGTTTTCGTACACGCGGTTGTGGTACGTACACGAATAATTACGCGGATATTTGCTCGATAAATACGGCCTGTAATAACGTAACAGTTACCGCGGGCGTTTTACAGCGTCCACTTTAAAGAAATTGATCGCGCGAAATTACGCGATTCGCTTCGCCAGTCGATCGATTAATTAAATCGCGCTGGAATCTCGGTGTATCGTGGCGATCGCGAGATAAAGTCGCGCGATTAATTTGCCTTCTCGCACGAGATATTTGTTATTAAGCCACTGCACCGTACCTGTCCCTGAAAACGCGATCATTTGTCTCTCGCTATGCCACTCTCTTCGTCTCTTTCTTTTCTTCTTTTATCGTCACAACGTGTTCGTACGAAATATCAACGAATTCAACCGTCAAATACAAACGCAACTTCGCATTCGCCCGGTGTTGGCCCGCGACTTTCTATTTTCCATCCTCTTTGCCTCGTTTCTCGAGGTCGTTCAGACGAACGATGAGACGAACAAGTTACGCATGAGAAACTGTCGTTTCATCGTCGACGAAACGTTTGTCATTTATTATCGACAGTTTCGCGAGTTTATAACTAAATACCATTAAACCGCGTTAAGGCTCGTTAAATTCAATACGGCAGCGTAACGCGATTCGACAATTTACACGCGTGCAACGCGTTTAAATTGTGGCCGGTGTTTATTATTCGCGCAAGCAGTCGAAAGTTCGTTTTGAACAGCTACTCGGGAAAATCGACAGTTCCGTTGCGGCGGAATTTATAAAATTTTGCCAGGCGAATTGTTCGAAGAACAATTATCGCTTTGCAGCGAATTTCCGACTTTCACCACGTGGTATTACTTATCAATTTTTATTTTTAAAGACTACTTCTGACTACAACTGTTGCGTACCGTTTCAGCATGGCTTTGCGGTTTTTTTCCGATCATCGTAAAAACAGATTGAAGTTTTTTGGGACAACATTTAATTTCACTTCCATCATTTCAGTTCCATCTTTATTCATATTCGTGTTGCACCAGTGAATTAATTCTAATTTGTCGAAAAGAAGAAAAATATTCCGAGTGATACGTGGCTACAATCATCTCATGTTGTAGACAATGAGTCTTCAAATATCCCAGTCGAAAGAAAAAGAAAAAAAAAGACAAAGTCACAACGAGTTAGAGCGTTTAAGACTTAGAGAATTAAAAAGCCGACCGTGATATGTACCGCCTTAAACAACTGGGAAACATAAACAGCGTGCATAAGGTTGGCCTCGGCCAGCGAGTTGTAATTAAAATACGGAATCACATAATCTCACGGTGATGTTTAGCATTTAAAACGGGTACGCACGATACGCAAGCAAACAGAAAATTAGCCCTGGTGATATTTACGAAAAACTAAGTCGCCGTGAAGGCAAACAATAAAAGTGTCGTGCAAACATGGAATTGAAAAGGCAACGTTTTCGATACCGGTGCCGCACCCCTGCGCTAAAAATCCCCCTTTGAAAATTGTCCTTTATTCGTCGATCAACCAGGCGCAGGAAAATCGTTCGCAAGCTCCTCGAATCGTTTTGACGATGGCCGCTCGTGCGAGCACGCGTGTCACACGTGCGCGTGCCATTCGGGTGTGACGCGGTGTGCGTAAACTACGCTTCAAGGGTGCAACATGCTCGCGTTCGCATCGATGCGTTCCCGTCGCCGTCGAAGAATAACGCGACGAGTGTTCTGGCTACCCGGAATATATATTTCCTTGCGATTTATAACTCTGTATAAGTCTTTAAATTCTTTCGTTCGAATTTCTCGGATTTTTTTCTCGGAATCCGTGGGTATTGGAATTAAATTGGAGCTGTTTTAAATCTCGAATTTTATTTATATATCTCTAATTTATATATATAAATTATTTATATATATTTATTATATAATATTTATTATATATTTATTATTATTATATTTAATAATCGGTTCATATTTGCCGTGCCATGTCTATTATTATTACGAATCCCAGATCAGTGCCTCGACTGTCCATCATCGTGGATATTTTCGATTTTCCCCGACTGCCGTAAACGAAATCGAGCGGGTCGTTTAAATATTTAGTAGTAC